ATAATGATCAACTGTTTGAACAAATCCAAAAGGCTTGGGCAGCAATTTCACAAAGTTTCATCGATCATATATATATATATATATATATATATATATATATATATATATATATATATATATATATATATATATATATATATATATATATATATATATATATATATATATATATATATATATATATATATATATATATATATATATATTTGTGTGTGTGTATATGCAAATAGTATTGCGTACTAAGGTAAGCAATCTGACATCATACTGAAATAGCCTACTGCTGGGGGCTTCAGTACATACATCAACTGACAAATAGCCTGACTCGCAGTGAAGTGCTGCTACATCGTTTGGGATGGGGAAGCAATCATTTTATTCATCATTCTTCGTTTTTTATTCTTTTTCGAAAAAAATGGTATAGCTTAAGGTAAGCAGAAAAAGTGAGCCAATGCTTATTAAAACACGCTTTAGTAAGTGTATATATATATATATATATATATATATATATATATATATATATATATATATATATATATATATATATATACCCCTAGGAAATATGATCAGCATTTGGCAATGTCAACCAAACTGCGGATCCAAAAGTGTTTGAGGTTGGCAAAAAATTGCGGAACTCATTTCTATGTTTTATAGTAACCCCTTTGTGTCAAATTTTTTTTGCTGACCTAATGTTGACCTCTAACAGTTTTAGGTTGGGAAAAAATTGCCGACCTCATTTTTTAATTCTAAGAGTTGTATATATATATATATATATATATATATATATATATATATATATATATATATATATGTACACTTATAAATTTAATGGCAATCCTTTATATTTTACAAAAATTAAATTTTTGGTTTGTAAATGTTGATGGATTATATATTCAATGCAAATATGTTTAAGTTTTTTCAATTTTTTTAAAGGAGAAAATTAGTATTTAACAAATTAATTATAAAAAGTTTTTTGTTATGTCTTTTAGATATTCTGAAAACACACCAAACATTTTGAAAGCACACCAAACATTCTGAAAGCACACCAAACTAATTTAAATTTTTTAAACCATCTTTAATTAAAAAGTATTAAATCTTTAGGTGTTCCAATATCAGCAACTCTTTAAATCTTTAGGTGTTCCAATATCAGCAACTCTTTAAATCTTTAGGTGTTCCAATATCAGCAACTCTTTAAATCTTTAGGTGTTCCAATATCAGCAACTCTTTAAATCTTTAGGTGTTCCAATATCAGCAACTCTTTAAATCTTTAGGTGTTCCAATATCAGCAACTCTTTTCTTCTAAAGATTGTATAAAAGAATATTGTATGCCAACATATAAATAAATAGCAAACATATACTTTTATACCCATATATATCCATAATATATGCCATTATTTAATAAGTACTAAATATTTGCATAAGTTTATAATTTATAATGTATTGTAATTTTTTTCAGCTATCTTCCTCTACCAAATCTTGTAATTTTGCTGGAGCCCAGTTTTAAAAAAATCCTATATTTACTTGGGATTAGGGCCGGTACTCACTTAGTAGTCCAGACCAAGCATTTTACCATGTTTTTGTATAATAGCCATCAAGGTAGATCTGGGGATTTTTGAAAAAGATTAAAATCTAGAAATGTTTCTTTTAAGACGATTTTGTAAATATTTTAAAAATATTTGTAAATATTTTTTTTACTTTTATTTTTTGGCACTATAGTCATGATTTAAATCATTATATTTATTCAAAAAGTAAATTGTGCAAGAAGCTGTGCAATTGATTGCGCTAATAATTGTGCAATTGTCTCATATTCTCACTAATCTATCTAAAGCATTAAAGCATTATGCCTTAACAATTCACAACAATTATTGGTAAAAACACATAACACCATTGATACAGTAAAGTATCAAATTATTAAAAGTGCCATGTTTAAAGTTTAATTAAATGATTATACAATGCTTAAAATTTTCCGAGGAATTAAAAAATTTATATTTTGTATTCAAGCTTCAATTTATAAAGTTATTTCTCAATTAATATTTGTCATTTATCAATATAGGAATATTTGTCAATATTCCTATATTGATAAATGGCAAACCTCTCACTGAGTCCACTTCTTAATGTCTTCTCAGATTATTGTTCACTATTAACCTCTCATGGAAACTGCAAATACAATTGATTGCTAAGTTAGCATATGCTAAGGTTGCTTCTTTTTATTGTGCTAGTTATTATGTTAGTTCTGATTCCATTATGTAACTCTACAAATTTCTTATTTGTCTCTGTATAGAATACTGTTGTCTTGTTTGGACTGGTTCTTTTAATAATGCTCTTTCTCTTTTCAAAAAGGTTAATTGTAAATGTAGTTTGACTAGCTCTATCTAAAAAGTTTGAGCTACTCTCCCATCATTGTAAGGTTGCATCTCTTTTTCTTGTTGTCAAGACATACTATTATAATTGTTTTAATCCGCCAGTGACAATACTATTATGATTGTTTCTCAACGAAGTTATCATCTTTAGTTCCATTAACCAAAACATATTCTCTCTTGGCTTGTTATTCAGCAAAGTCCCATCCTTTTACTATATCTGTCCCTGCACCCTCTAAAAACTTTTATTCGTCTAGTTTTTTTCCCCACACTTTAATCCTTCAGATCTCTCATTCATTTTCATGCTTTCCAGAATCATACAACTTTTTAAGTCTTCTGTCAACTGTTTTTCTTTCTTTTTAACTCAATATTTTGTTTTCCAGTAACTCCCAACTTAATAGTTGTTGCTCGCAGCCTTCTTTAGAGTGAATTTGATTTAAAAATATACATATATATTTTTTTCTTTATGCGTTAAAGTATAATATAGTAACAAAATAACAACAGAATATTCACATTCCAAATATTTACACAAAAGCATTTGAGACTGCAAATTGCATGAGACTGCAAATTGACCTTCAAGATATGGTTCTTCCAAGCAGTGGAGTGTTGCCTGTGATTGCTATGCTTTTAACCAGACATCTTTCATTGCTCTAAGCAGATGAATAACAATGCCAAGAACAAAGCATTGTTAATCATTTGTTCTGATTGTTTGTGGGGATTCACAGTTTGAGAGTATTGTACCATATGCATAGGTACATGATTGCTTGAGACTGAAAGTTCATGTCATTAGCTTGAATCAACGACCAACAACTCAATATTGTTGTAGTTCTCTGGAAGTTCTGTTAAAAACTCAATATGAAAAATCAAGAACCTTTGATTCTGTGTCTAAGGTTAAATTTTGATGGTAGAAAAGTCAAAAAATGAAGGCAGTGGAGGCAATCTTTTGACTCATCTTTTCTGTGATAAATAGATTGCGCAAATTCCTTGTGGAACTCTTGTATCAGAAACATCAATATTATAGATTAAAACATTTTTTTGCTTGAGTTGCTTTGAGATACCTTATAACCTGTGTTTTTTTTATAAACATAATTCAGATAATTTTCCTGTTAGGAAAACTAGCTTGATTAACCATTTTGATATCTTTGTTTGCAATATTATATTAGTGCTGTAAGTGACAAACTTTAGAAAATGTTGGCACAGATGAAGTATCATCAAGAAATATTGCAAGCATGTGTTGTATTATGGTACCAATAAAAGTACACAAGTAGAAAGAAAAATTGATTGGTACAAAATTATAAATCAGCAATTTAGAATTTCTAAATGTTTTTGAATTTTCTGTATTAAAAATCTTATGAAGAATGTACAAATGTGGAGGGAATGTGTAACATGGTCAAAAAAATGACTCATAAGAGTAAAATTGAAAAAATTATATCAAAGTTACGCTAATTATAGTTTTTATTATTTGAAATAAATTCTTATTTAAAATCTTGAGGTTCATTCTTAAAGCCAAATGCATATGTAATAAATAATTTTATTTCTAATAAAATTATTTCCAATAAAATTATTTTTTTTAATCTTTCTAACAATCTTATTATTCTTTTCAAAAAAAAAATTATTCTAATGTACTTCCCTGGTTTTAAGTACTAATCATAATAGATTTTTTTTAGTTCAGATCCCTGAAATGCTTCGATATACAATGTTGTTTATAAGTTTCTATTATAAGTAGTGATTTCCAGTCACTATATTTACTTAACAAAAAGTTATAAATATTTTGTGAATGTATTTGTATATAAAGCAAAAACATATTTTTTAGTTAAAATGCGAAATTTTTGAATGCTGTCATTTTAGTGTAAAAGATTTCCATTTAATCATTTCCACCATGTACAGGTGGTCTATTGCTTTTGACAAATTAAAAGTTTTTTATAAAAATCTTCATAAACCTGTTTCATATAGTGTATCTGGAAAGGCTTTATAAGTTATTAAATTATTCTAACTGCAGTATTAAGATTTTACTCGCCTCGCCTATATTTCCAATTTCTGAGATACCACAAAGTTTCATCCTTGGTCCTTTATTTTTTCTTATCTAAATTAATGATATATTAATGAGACGACTGTATTATCCAGTCTTGCCTTTTTTTTTTGTGAGGGTTATTGCTTTTCAATTGCTTAGAACAGGTAGCCAATTTTGAATCTGATTTCTCTTCTTTGAAAAATAACTATATATTGATAAATAGCAACACTCTGAGTCGTTTGAAACTTTACATACAATCTATTTTAAAGTTAGCATTTGTTGCAAGGTTGCCTCTCCTTATCGTGTTATGAACGTTATGAAAAAATTATTTCTCTTTGCCTAGTAAGTCTTTTCAAAACCTCCTAGGTTAGGACTTTATGGGTAAACATAAAAGTTCTGTTGATCAACCTTTGTTGTTATTATTAGAGTTCTTTTATTTTAACTCTCAGCCAATATTGTTTTTGTTTTGTAATTATGATTATTCTTTCACATTTTTTTAAGAACAAAAAAGAAATATTTTTTTCTATTATTGCAAAAAAATAAATGCAATAAATACCAAAAAGTGTTAAAATATTTTTGCATTATTTTCATGCTAATCATACATGTGATATGTACATAGCATTGTTTTATTGATACAGATTCTGCTGATCCATCAGAATATAATGATTTTTGTGAAGAAATAAATCTAATGAAAGGAATTGGATATCATAAAAATATTTTGAATATGATTGGTTGTTCAACAATAAAAAAACCTTTGTGCTTAATTGTTGAGTTCATGGAGAATGGAGATTTACTCAGTTTTTTGAGAAAAAGACGTAACAAAGTAAGTTTTTTTAATTCTATAAAAAATGTTATTTTTAATTTAATGAATGTTTATTTTTCTAGAAAAATATTAATGTTATTTTTTGAGTAATTTTTGATTGGCCGCAAATCAATCAAATTTAAAAAAAAATGCTGTAATCTAAGAGCTATTAAAAAATCATTTAATTGGTTATTGGGCAAAATAAAAATATTAAGGATTTAAAAGTTAATTAAAAAATAATTCAGATTTGTTTCTAAAATGAAGTATTTTTTATTTAAATAAAAATCAGTTATTTCTTTTATGTAAAAACTCCATTATTTATTAATCATTATTTTATTTTGACACCTTTCATAAGTGATTGTAAAAATTATAAGTCTATTTTTTTTAGTTTTAATTTGATGCAATTAATCAAAGCTTAGTTAACAAGCTGAAGCCGACCTCTCTTCTCCGACCTCTCTTCTCCGACCTCTCTTCTTTGACCTCTCTTCTTTGACCTCTCTTCTCCGACCTCTCTTCTCCGACCTCTCTTCTCCAACCTCTCTTCTCCGACCTCTCTTCTCTGACCTCTCTTCTCTTAAAAACAGACTTTTTCAATTAAAAAAAAGCATTAGTTATTTTACTTGAGTAAATTATATTTTCTATTAACATTGCTGTAATTCATTAACCAATACATCATTATTTAATGTGCTTATATAAAAACAAGCTTTGATGCTTTTTTTACTTCCATCTTGTTTCTTAACTTGGAATGAACAAACCCAAAAGTTGCAATAATTCTTTTAGTTCCAGCACTAAAAGCTGGTGTATTAAAGAAACCTTCCAAATTGTCCAAAGATTTTAGAGATTTCCACCATTCTATCACCATGGTGATACATTTTTTAAAACAGATTCACTATACGAATAGCTTTTATATAATTTGCTCCAACTTGATGATTATTTTATATATATTTTATTATCTGTGTAACATGCTTGCTCACATTTTCAATTTTAAGATCATTTGCTAAAAGATTTAACATATGAGCAGTACTCCCATAAGTAATTATTAAAATACCTTCTGCCGATGAAAATACTTGTCGCATTAATTTCTGCATCGTCACAAAGCTTTTTTTATTTTTACTCTAAATTTATGTGTTACATATTATTATTGTTTTATTTTTACTTTATGCTTTTACGACCTAATGCTTTAAACTTTTTTTACTGCTTTTATTATAAAGATTATTCTTCTTCTATTGCATACTATAGTGTAAGATATAAAATAATGGTTATAAAATAATGGTTCAAAAAAATTTTATTAAATTTTAGTTATTATTGAACACCATGTCTTTAAAAAATCTATAGCAAATGTAACTTATTTAATGTGCGCAACATTTATTTTATATATATATATATATATATATATATATATATATATATATATATATATATATATATATATATATATATATATATATATATATATATATATACAGTGGTTTTCATAAATTTAGACGCACTCATATTTGAGAATAGAAATTTTTAGTTTTTTAACGATCAAACAATGACGAAAAAAGATTTCGGTTTAGTTTTTTTTCTATTTATTAGATAAATACATACAGGATACAAAATTTAAAAAAAGTTTACAAAAACAAAATGAAATACTAAATAATAATTAGGTACAACTACATGGTATTAAAAAAATGAGACAATAAAAATTATTCATAAATTTAGACGCACGATACATTAGAAGGCGTAATTTATGAACCAATCAATATTTTGTGTATCCGCTTTTTGCTTTAATACAACTAAGAACTCTTCTAGGCATAGACTCAACAAGATTTTCGCACATCGCTTCTAGTACCTCATACCAGGTCTCCTTAAGGAATTCCTTCAGCTGACCAAGTGTGGAAATTCGAACCTTTGCTAATTCACGGTCAATCTAAGACCAAACATTTTCAATCGGGTTCAAATCAGGTGAGTATGGAGGCCACGGTATTGCCATGATATTACTATTGTTGAACCACTCCTTTGTATAGTATACAGTATGTGCAGTAGCGCCATTTTGTTGAAGTTTCCATGGTTTATCATTGAGCATAAGCAGGTCAATTGATGAAATTAGGTTGCTTTCCAGTACTTCTACGTATATTCTGGAGTTGATTCTTCCGGTGTATGTTTGGCACATACCAACACCTTTGTAATTGAAGCATAACCAGATTCCTATTGAGCCTCCTCCACTTTGTACAGTTGGTCTAATGTACCTGGCGTAATACTTTTCGTGAGCCATTCTTTTGACTTTTATGTTAGATTTGCGATTGATAGCTCAAAGTTACTCTCATCACTTCACATAATGTTTTCCCATTGTTCTATTGTCCAATACCTTCTTTCACGACACCATTTTAGTCTTCTTTGTTTATCATATGGACGCAGAAGCGGTTTCTTCAAAGCAGTGTAGACTTCAATCTTGTATTTGATAAGTATTCGGCGGACTATGCTTTGAGAAATAGATGTATTTCGCATTGTATTGAATTCTGTGTTCAATTCTTTGTAACTAATTCTTGGATTAGCTCTGACAGCTCTAAAACGAACACTGTCGTCCTTTTTAGTGGTTGACAAGGGTCTACCTGGCCTCGTTTTCTCGCTGGCACCACCAGTGTGAAGAAAGTTTTGTTTTGTTGTCCGAACGCATTTCTCAGAAAATCCAACTAACTTGGCAATTTCTCTATTACTTTTGGTTCCTTCTTTGATGTGCGCAATAATTTGCCATCTTTCACCTTGAGTGATATGTCTTTTGCCCATTTTTCACGTCTTTTTAGTGCAAAACTAACTTAACTTTTGTTTATTTGTTAAATAATGATTAACTAATTCCAGGTAAGTCATATTTATATAAGATTTTTTGACAAAATCAATTAATTTAGGCCTATTAATGATAAGTATGGGAAAAAACTACTAATTAACTATCAATTAACAAGATATAAGACTTTTTTGATTGTGCGTCTAAATTTATGAACATAATAAAATCAAGCTTATCAATTAACTTTTTTGTGTTAATCGGTATAGAATAAGTAATAAACATCCTGTAAAAAAAATTAAGGTACTCTATAATAGAGTTTTACTTCCTCTTTTAAATTATATATCAAACATAGCGGTAGCACTTTTATTTTATTTTCATTTTGAGTGTTTTCTTACACTAATGAAAAAAAAAAATGAATGCGTCTAAATTTATGAAAGCTACTGTATATATATATATATATATATATATATATATATATATATATATATATATATATATATATATATATATATATATATATATATAAAGAGAAAGGATATCTTTAAATTATTGAGTGAATTTTTTTTGTTCTTTTTTTTTTTTTTTTTTTTTTTTTTTTTTGCATTCACTCCCAACAAGGCTGCAAGCAACCACTATCAAGTTAGGAGTTACTAGGAAAAAAAAGAACAGAGTTATAGAGCAAGGAAACGATTGACAGAAGACTTGAAAAGTTGAAGGTTGTATGAGTCAGGAAAACATGAAGATGGGAGAGAGTTCCAAAGGATTGAAGTGCGGGGAAAAAAACTAGATGAATAAAACTTTTTAGAGCATGCAGGGACAGATACAGTAAACGAATGAGACTTAGCTGAATGACGAGTAAAACGAGAATGAATTTTAGTTGATGGAACTAGAGATGATAACTCCTTTGAGCAGTGACCATGATAGTATTTGTAGAAAAGAGAAAGAGATGCAACTTTATGACGAACGGAAAGAGGTTCAAGCTTAGCAGATAGTCCAGGTCCAACAACATTTACAATGCGTTTTTGGACCTTGTCAAGAAGAGAAAGTGAATCGTTAGAAGAACCAGCCCAAATATGACAACAGTATTCCATACAGGGGCAAAATAGAGATTTGTGGAAATAGAGAACGGAATCAAAAGTAAGGGAATAGCGAGCACGATAAAGAGAAGCAACCTTAGCAGAAGCTAATTTAGCAATCGATTGTATATATGATTTCCATGAAAGGTCAGTAGTAAGGGATAATCCAAGAAGACGTAAAGAGGGTGACTCAGTAAGAAGATTGCCATTCATTAATATAGGAATGTTGACCATATTATGGTAGTTGTTTGCAGTAAGCAACTGGGTTTTTTGCGTGTTGAAATTCACAAGCCACTGTGAACCCCAATCTATTACTGAAGTGAGATCGGATTCAAGATCAGCTGCTTGTTCTAGGCGATCGAAAAGGAAAGACTTTTTGTCAAGACAGGAGTATAAGGTTGAGTCATCAGCAAAAAGAGCTACTTTAGATGAAAGGTTGTCAGGAAGATCGTTTATGTAGATAAGAAACAAAACAGGGCCCAGGATGGAACCTTGGGGAACCCCAGAAGTTACTGGAAATAAAGAAGAGTGATGGCCTTCAAGGATGACTTTAATAAACCGGTTAGAAAAAAATGATTTGATAATCTCAAAAACTTTCCCAGAAACACCATATGAAGCAAGCTTATGGAGAAGACCAGCATGCCAAACTTAGTCGAAAGCTTTAGAAATGTCGAGAGCAATAGCCCTAGCCTCATCGCCTCCATCTAATGCACGATAAAATCTTTCAGTTACAGCAGTTAGCAAGTCAGCCGTAGAGCGAAAGGATCGAAAACCGTATTGATTGTCTGACAGCAGTTTATTTGACTAAAGATGAGATGTGAGGAATTTGTTGATCATAGACTCAAAGGCCTTGCTAATAACAGAAAGAAGACTGATCGGACGATAATTGGAGGGGTCAGAATTTTCTCCAGAGTTTTTGAATATTGGAACCACAGATGCCATTTTTCAACAAGCAGGAAAACAAGACTCAGTCAAACGCTTGTTAAATAGTTTAGAGAGAATTGAAGAAAGTTCTGGAGAACAGTTCTGCAAGACTGTGACAGGAATGTTGTCTGGACCACAAGCTGTAGACAAGTTTAATTGAGGTATGACTTTAGCAACAGAAGCCGAAGTGATTTGAATGTCTAACAATGGGTCAACCTGTTTGACTGGAATGGAAGAGAATGTCCATAAGATTCAAG